TCACCCCATTCCGCACCGGCTCTGCCGTCTGTGTTTACAATTTAGAGATGAAACACAGACAGGACAACAGCTAATGCACATACAGGCTCTCTTATCTGGGTATCAAAATTGGCATTTCCTGCTTCCCCACAACTGTCAATATTCGACTGCGTCCCTCTCATCGGCGGGCCGATAGTGCCAAACAAACTATGAATGTTAATAAACAGAAGACTCCAGGCCCCCACTTGTTCCAATCCCCGAGCCAGTGATATTTATAGTTTGCATCTTAAAAATTTCTAAAACACTTAAGTGAATAAGCAAAATATTTTATTGAACCTTTTGGCGACGGGACATTGGTATGTGGTGGTGGAGTTGCGAAAAACCGGCCATAATCGCTTTCCAACGGGGCACCATCGTAATCATTTTCGGGCTGTTGTCTTCCGCTTACTGCTTTCTGGTCGAAACGTGATCGTCGTTCACGACGGTTCATAGATGGGGCTACCTGTTGTTGTTGTTGTTGTTGCGGCTGCGGCGGCGGCTGCTGTTGCTGCTGTAATCCTACATCGGGTGGAATTTGCGGTCGTGGAGGCAGTGCAGATGGTGGTGGCATAGCGGCATCTAAAATAGAAACAACATCTTTTCCATTTCCTAAATTACGGTTAAAAGAAAATTGTATGAATACTGTTGGAAAAATACAAGAAAGGATGACAGAAAAGATAAAAAAGGGAGATAGAAAAGATAGAAAGGAAAGTTGTGGAAAAGAAGTATCGTTAGGTAAATATTAGGCAATTATTATGTAATATTAAGTATTATTAGGTACTCTCTACGAGAGGAATCGAGGCAAACAGAAGTAACTTGAATGGTAGCAAACGCCAAAAGCAACCGCTCGCTGGCAAGAATATTGTCAACGGCTATTTGCTTCGCGAATTTTTCAAAACTAAGGTTATACTAGGTTTCACTTCCTCGCATATTTCAGTACTAATTTTCCCTTTCTGTTTCTTCCTATCATCTTTCTCTTTTCTTTTCCTTTTACATTAAGCACTGCGATCGTCATGCTGACAAGGTACTGTCGTGGTGTTAAGACGTATATGACTTAATGAGCCAAAACGTCATATTCACTCTTTCGTTTTTTTTATGCGTTTTTTTTTGCATCTATGCAATGCAGAAAATGCATATTGACGAGGGGTTGTTT